TGATAACTGCAGGACAAGGGGAATGGTTTTCAGTTGAGGGAGGGGAGGTTTAGGCTGGATGTCAGGGGGAAATTCTTTACAGAGAGAGTGGTGAGGTGCTGGAACAGGCTGCCCAGAGAGGCTGTGGATGCCCCGTACCTGGAGGTGTTCAAGGCCAGACTGGATGGGGCCCTGGGCAGCCTGGTCTAGTATTAAATGGGGAGGTTGGTGGCCCTGCATGTGGCAGGGGGGTTGGAGATTCATGATCCTTCAGGTCCCTTCCAACTCTGGCCACTCTGTGATTCTGTGAACCCCAATCAGGAATTAATTTAAGAAATTCTAAAGTATGGAGATGTCTTGTTCAAGTTAATGCTGGTTGAATAAGTCTAGTATGCTTCTTATCTCATTAATTTCAACTAGATATCCTATTTTTCATTAAAAAAGAAAAAAGAAAAAAAAAAAAGATGAACACACAGATCTCATACTCCCATTGTATAATTAGCATAAACATATCCAAAACCAGAAACGACTCTGATGCCAGCAGTGACTATTAAAATCTTGTCTGAACAACTGCATTTGCATATAGAATTTCAGAACGTTACCTTCTTCCATTTATCGTGCTTACTGTTGATATATTTTTAGGCAAAATCAGCACTGAAGAAATACAGCTATAAATGCAGTCATGTCCCTCCCACTCATATTCCCATTTTTTTACAAACTGAAGGTATGGAGCATAGAACATGTCTGGTACCAATGCCTCACTTTCCCAGAGCCACTGAAAAAAAAAATAAAGATGCAGTGACAGTATTCAGCTCTGGTCTGCTCAGAAAATAATTCTGCTAATACTCTGACACAAGCAACTTTAGATGTAGAGGTTACTGGGCTGGAGCCTGGCTGTAAGATTCTAGTGATCTAATTGTCTGGAAAAATACAGGCCAATATGTACACGTTAGTAAGAGAGGATGCATATTAATTTTAGTTATTCTCCTGCAGGTACTGAAGAGTAGGCTGTTCCAGCACAGCTTACATCATGGACCACAGAAAACAAACAGGCCCATAATGTTTGAAAAGCCTGTGTGAGATGCTAAACTAATACTACTTATCAATTCCAAACACAGGACTATTAATGAGGCAGTAATATGAAGCACAGCTCTTGTAAAGCAAGATGCTGATGACAAAGCTATATAGAAATTATTAAATCAAAAATCTTACTGCTTTATTTTGAAAACATTTCAACATTATTTGGAGAAATCTCCAAAAGATTTCAATTCTATCTATCTTTGATACTGCAGTATCAAGGCAAACTGTAAACAGAACAGCTCCCCAAAAACACTACCAGTATTCACTTGAAACTCCTTGCTACTGTGGGTGAAGTCAAGCCGTAACAATTGCTCAAATACAGAATGGAATGTTCTAAAGTAATGGCTTCTAAGCCTCTCTTTTTTTCCTTCTTCAGATTGATCTAATTAAAACCCTTGATAAACTTTATGGACTCTAATATTTCCAGCTGAGTGACTGAAACCAAGAGGGTGTGCCTCAAGGCAGCAAGGCAACAATGATAAGCAGCAGGTTAGCCACTAATTTCTCAGCCAGGGTAGATTGTGAAAGTGCGATGTTCTGATATCCAAGAAAGTGTTCAGGAGAGAATAGGATAAATCAAGTTTAATAACTCTGCTCCTAATTGTTCCCTCAATGCTCCACTCTAATTACTTGGAGAACTCTCCTGACTGTCACCTGATATTAAGTTGTTGGAGGCTGAGTGTGGAGCAGCGAGATAATCAATAAACATTTAGTGGGGAGAAGAATGAAGATCCCGTTAAGCAGTGGGAACCAGCAGCACCCAAAGCCCTTCTGCTCATGAGAAAACCTATGGGAGAGCCATAGTGATTGCAAAGCAATAATCCAAAGCACTGTTTTTAGGCCTTGAGGCCTTT